GGGGGGGGAGGGACCACTAGTTTGAGGGTTTGGGGGTGCTGCTGGTTTCTGGTAGGGGAAGGAGATGACCCACTTTTTAAAGTAGGTATAGTGCCTCCTATATATGCGCTATACCTCCCGCTAATTCTGAGTTAAGATATACATGCCGTTAAAGTACAGCGCGGTAAATAACCGCGTTATATATAAAATGATAGTCAATTTATTTTTCATATATTTTTATCGTTTGAGTCCAAAAGAAACACACTTTGATTCCGGGACTCCCTATCTTTGGCATTTCGGGTCTTGATGACGTCAAATGATTGATAATCCCATGGACCGGAGCTTCCCAGTATCCCGTATAACTAATGAATAATTCATTCTTAATAGAAAATTAGTTTTGTACATTAGTCCGACAGATGCAACAGTGAGAAAATTAGTTTTGAAAAGAAAAACAGCTGTTTTAATACTTCTAATAAAAAATTACTTCTTATACTATGAGATTAGTTATATAAAAATTAGTTATATTGGAATTAGTTATTCTGATATTATTTCTTATTGATTGTTTGGTATGTTTTATTAATCACAAGATTCCTAGGATAACTTATCCTGGAAGTACTATTCCACCATCTGCCAGGTATAAATTATTCCGCTATTATTTTTTAATCTCGAAATAATTTATCCAAAATTAGTAACCAAACAAGAAATAAAGCTATACTAAAATTTTATCCAAAATTATTTTTGCTTATCAATCATACCAAACTACCCCTTAGATACTAATAAACGGGTTATAAGATAGGAGTACCACATGATTCTATTTTCCATCTTAATGAACGATAAACAGTATAGAAAAAAAGTAAATAATAGCTGTAGAATGTTGATACATACAAAATGAAGTAGAGTAGACATTCATCGTAATTTAATTTTTCTTATAATATAATATATAAAGTAACCAAAAAACCAAAAAAAAAAAGTGCTAGTCCTAAAAGTAATGGAAGTGTGCGGGAATTAGATAAAGCAGCGCAAAACAGGAGCAGGTGCCGTCGGCCATAACTTAAAATCATCGTTCTGATCATCAGGGGTTAAATTAAGATCCAGACATAATATTCTCTTACTACTACTATTCGAATTGTTCAAAACTGGTACATTGATTGGGGCACGGTGACACCTCATATGTCCACCTAAAGCCTGCCCCATAAAGAACTCCATCCCACAAATACAACACTGGTGCATATTATTATTCTTTGTTTTTTTGGATTTGCTTCTGGCGTCTATGGATGATGATCTCAGCGATTTATGACTCGTCCTGTGGCCGCCAAGTGCTTGAAAAGATGAGAATCGTTTGTTACATGTCTTGCATTCAAACGATGAAGTTTTGATAGTGTTATTGTTTAAACGAGACAAAAGCATGGAGCAGTTAGCCATGGCTAGTGCTTCTACATCACTATCCTCTTCTCTGCTTCTCTTCATAGTAAAAGGATGAAGACACAAACAAATGCTTAATTTGGTGTACTGCTTGTTGAATCGATCTGAATGAAATAATGTTAATTGCTTCATGACTCTATAGTCTATACACACACACATATATATAGGTCAATCGAAGATATGGCTTCTAACTGAATTCTGCGCGTTTTTTGTTAATGATATTTGCTCTACTAGCTTCTTGGATATTTTCATTAGGCAGAAAGAGAGAGGTAACTAGTGTGTAAACTATAATGATAGGAATCTAGTACGTAGTACGAGTTCTCTATCTCACCGCGTTAGGCGCAATCAGTGAATGAGAACTTTTCACATCATTTCATACCCATCAGCTGTAGCAGATAGAGTCTTGTTATAAAGTGTGCTTCCATGAAGTTTCCACAATGATGAAGTTTCCGCTATAAATCTCGGATTTTACCTATGAATTTGAGTTATATTAATGGCTAGGGTTGTTCAAACCGAATCGGAAAATCGCATCAAATCAAAAAATCAAACCAAATCGATTAAAAAATCCGACTAGGTTTTGTTTGACTTGGTTTGGTATTGAGTAAAAAAACTCAAACCAAACCGACATATAAATATTTAATTTATATATATATATATGACTTTATATTGAATTTTCTTTAAAAATATAAAAATATTTGGGATCCTATCATGTGTTAACCTTGAAAGCGTACATTAACGAAAAATTATTGTTAGATGACTAAGAAAATAACTATTACGTGTTACTAAAAAATTCTCCCATTAGAATATTTTAACAGATCATATGTTTGTCAGTTTTTTCAATATTTATTAAATATATATTCTTTTATCAAAACTATATCTATAACTTTAACAAAGTAAGATTGAAATAAGGATCAATCAAAGGGGGTACTACGAGCCCTCTGCCCCACGCATCTAACCAGCTCGCGTGGTTCACCGGTTCTACCGACTAGACCAAAAGAGTGGAGTTTCATTGGCCCTTTTGAACCCTAGCTTCTCCTTCGCGGTGGCTCACTTTTTCTAAGTAATGGGGAAGAGGACCGAAACATACAAAAATGCTTTCTATGCGATGCTTCCTTCAATACTGGAACTGGACCTTTACGGTCTTAGGCTGATCCCATCTGTCCGAAAGACTATTTTTATTTTATTCCTCCGAATAGAACATGGCCATAGGGGTGGATACCCCCACTATCTGTAGAAAGATTTCAGGTGCGGATATAGGAAGTTGTTGCGATCTATCTGGCTGTAAATATCTTTGAATTTCTTCCATTTGAATATTCATGTAACAAAAAAATCCGAAAACCAGAAAAACCAAACAAAACCGAACCAAACCAAACTGATATAGTTGGTTTGGTTTGGTTTTGACAAAAATCGAACTAACCCGGTCCATGTACACCCCTATTAATGACCGTGAAATTATTTTTTACACCGTCAAATCATACAATATACTAGTATTAGTTAGAGCTTAAAGTCTATGTACTAGTAGAAGCTTCGGAAAAATGATCTAATACATATATATATATATATATATATATATATATACCTTAAAATTAGTAGGTTCTTAGAAGGCGCTGCATTCATACGCCAACACAACTGCTCATTTTTTTTTTAAATTACTTTTTTTGCTTTAGTTTCCCGCCCCCTTCTACTTCTAATTAAATCCCAAAATCAAAAGGTCTATATACCCTCTAAGAGAGTTGCACGCTAAACTTTATAACAGGAGATTTGCATAATTATGTTGAAAATAGTGATACCCCCAAACCTTTTAATACCGAGTTCGTTTTTGTGTACTGATAGCGTAAAATTGTATAAACAATCAGGTCATTTATTAGTTAATTGCATATAAATTTTTTGATGAACATTTATATATATTTGGTAAAAATAATGACAAACCTACTAATAGTGTAAGAGAATCTTTACAATGTAACTTAATTCTAGTTTAAAAGATTACAATAATACTAATCATAATCATTTGCTTTTAATAATTACCTTATAATGGTCCAATTATACAATTTGTTTTTAATTATTAACGCATAAAAGTTTTAGTTATCTTTTTTAAAGCACAAAATTACTCTTCACGTATATATGATTGACTTGAATACAGGGCTTAGAATACGAACGCGTACGCGTATATAGTTCGAATTGAAGAAGTGGACAAGGGGCTATTCTCTACTATAGTTACTTTCTGGGGTAATACTGAAGGATGTACTTACTTGGCACCCAAGTATTTGGGACCATTAGCGTGCACAAAATTGTAGTTGACCGTCGTTAGTCTATACATTATCTGTCTGACCTCTTATTTATGGATATGTATTCTCGATCTTTCTCTATAGAACACAAAGTTATGGCATCATAAAATCTAACAAATGACATTATGAAATGAGGCATAAAATCAACACAGTTAAAAGCTAAAAATAAAAATAAAAATAAAAATAAAAAATATTTAAATATCAAATCATGTACTGATGTGAAAAAAGTTAAAATTTGAAAGGTTACGGTTCGAGTTGTCAGTATTTGTGATGTTTTCACACGTCAAATTAAACTACTTATTTTTCAAGAACGTCCTAAAACATCCTTCCAACTCTACTTAACTGAATGATAGCATACGAGCTTTTGTTGTACGTATCAATTACATTTAACAACCAATTTGGTTGCTTCACTTGACATAAGTCGTCAAGCTTGAGTATTCCCCTTTTTTCCTTCTAAAACTATGGATTAGTACATCAGACTCTTCACATACACGTATACATACATACTATATTAAAAGTGGAAAGTGCTTAAACCTAAAGTTAAATTACTAAAATATTCATAAATAATCTAATAGACAATTTTACCCTTCGGCCTTCACCAAAGAAAGGATTAAAGAAAAACCTTCTAAATAAATCAAATTCCCTACTCCTGGAAAATGACACCGATTAACTAATTCTCAAGAAGAGGAACAAACAGACGCACCCCTTCGATAGCACTGATACTACATCACTCTTGGAAAGAGTGTTTAATCATTTTCAAAAGATGCTGCTTGTAACACAGAGTTGTACAAAGATGCCATTCATAGTATGCTTGAGGATTCGCTCGAGATAAGAGTTCTCCGCAAAACGAATCAGCAGTGTCGATCGACAATTCTTTACCGAAAAATTACACTATATTATTAGGCAACTTTTTTTGTTTTCTATATATTTATTATAAGTTGAACCCCTTTGACTTTTTGGTGTATTTAATTTTTATATTTTGATATCCCTTAATAAAAATTCTGGTTTCGCCACTGATTCTTAGTCATATTTGACCCTTTGACTTTTTGGTATATTTAATTTTTATATTTTGATACCCCTTAATAAAAATTCTGGTTCCGCCACTGATTCTTAGTCATATATGACCCTTTGACTTATAATGCATAAGTCATATAACATGATAGGAACATGTAAAGATAAGGCAATGGGTAAACAATGCAACATTTGAATTATAAAATTTTACTTAGAGTTTGTGATATGTGGATAGAAAAAACAATTCAGTATATTATCGATACTATGTGTGAAAATTCTAACATGTTTACAGTCGAAAGTAAGCTAACACACAGACCTAAAAGAAATTAATAAAACTAGAATATTAAAATTAGATCTAAAAGAAGTATACAAACAATAAAATGGTGTAAAAATAAAGGATGGTAAAAAAATACGTGTTCAACGATATGTATATCAGTAAATACTTCTTATGAATACTTCCGCTATGAGAATAGAAAGAAGCATTATCAAACTATATATATTAACATAAAATTGTTTTTTAAAAAAAACAAAAAATTATATTAACATCACTTTTCCTTTAGTGTTTTTGACTAATTTATGCATAAGGTTAAATTTTAAACCAAAAATGATCGTGAGTAATTACTAGGTAAGCATATGCAAATAAAATTGACTCTTGAATAAACGCATAATAATACGATGATACACAAATTAAGGGATCAGGAAAATACGGGTATGAAAAAAGTTGACGTGAAGTTGAAAAGTAGGTGGCAAGAAGAGATTTTCTTAGTTATTTTGATCCATGCATCTATTTGTTGGGCAATTTGAAACAAATCTCCTAAGTTATTAAGGTAAAAGGAATTATGTAATTACTTTAAGTCTAGGACTAGAAGTTTACTTTTGTTGATGCATATTTGATTTTCTTAGTAAATTCATAAATACTAATGTACTCACTAATGTAAATTCCATATTTTAGCTTCTTCCAAATGAATAATGCATTGGAATGTAAATTTTAGTATTTTATCTTTTCATGATCATAGTTTATCTGTTTCGACTGCTAGCCTTGCTATAAACTTTGTCTTTTAAAACCATTGTCAAATTCTTGCTGATTTTAAATAGTCATTTCCCCATTCTTTGACCATTTCTTGCCTTTCTAGCTTGATTTTTTTTATGATGTCGTGTATTTTCTACGCAAATAAATTTCTTTAGTGTAATAGTTGGACTATGTTCCTTTATTCGAAATTTCCTATAAAGAAGACATGAAACCTTATGCATTTTAACTCGATATTGGATACTTCATTTTATATGGAAAGTTTTGTTATTTGAGAAGAACGTAGACTTTTTTTTGATGAAGAGAACCTAGACTTTTTACTATTAGACAAGTGATTTCAGAAGTGAGGTCCTGCTTTTGTTTGCAAGGAAGTTGCATTTTTCTAACAGCTTGTTTGAATGGTTGTTACCCATCATTTTATAATGTATTGTATTGTATCGTATCGTATCGTATCGTATCGTTTTATGAATACAACGTTTGGATAGATTGTATTGTTTCTTATTGTTAAATAATATTTTATTATTTGGTTTGACTGTATCGTACTGTACTGTAACTGATAAGTTTACTAAAATACCCTCAATTGTTTAAATATTAAATTTATCAAGAATTACGTATAAAAATAATTTAAGAACTATGATAAAGAAAGGAACGGGAATTGGCAGAATAAAGAAACAAAGAATTGGAGTTAAAGTAAATAAAATTGGAGTTAAAATCACATTAGGAGAAAAAAGCGAAACAAAAAGAAGACAAAATCTATATCTTTTACGTTAGAGTTGGAAGTGGCAGAAGTTCGGAAAAAAAGGGACAAAGACAAAGTAGGTTATATTGGAGATTTGTAGTTAAATATTTTTTTAAAAAAGTAAAAGGTAATTATGGAGTAATAAGTTAGGGCATAATTGGAAAGAAAAATAGGAAACAATCCCACCACACTAAATCGGTTGTTTCAAAAAATGAGACTTTTCGTTGTTTCGGAACAATGAATTTAATAATACAATACAACCAATTTTAATGAAACAAACAATACAATTAGATACAATGGGTAACAACCATCCAAACAAGCTGTAAAAGAATCGTATTTTTTTGTTATTGGAATGTGAAAGAATTTATATAATGCTTTTAATTTTATTCTTTTAAACAGGGGCCTAACTACTTTGGTTAGCTGAATCAAGAATTGTTTCTAATAATACTTCTGCAAAGCAATATAAATAGAAAGGTAAAAGAAAAAGGATTCTTAGGAGGATACATGAGAGTAGTTACATATGCACGGTCATGTTTATAACTGCATGATCTTCACGCTTGCAAAAATTACAAGTTTTTACTTGGGTAGTACTGCATTTGGAAGAAGATGATATTGCGGGGTTTTGACTTTGCGGTTGGGGGTCTATGCAAATTAAAATATTGATAGTAGTACCAATTGCTCCAAAAAATTGAAATGAAGTTGAAAAATGAACTGTGTCAAATAGCTTTGCATTTTGGTATAGTTGCATTAATGCCATTAGCCAATCCACGAAGAAAAATGTTTAACTATACTCTGTCAAGTTCATAAAATAAAAGTATTTTGGTAATCCAACTTAGTAGATATATCTATTATTTGGTAGTGCTTATAATGTTAATGCACTCTAAACGTATCATGAACTAAAATCTTAATTTAATAGGTAATGCCTGCTTGTGAATCTTTTAATCCACAATGGTAATGAGGAAGTCTCATTTGTGCTGCACCATTATAGCCTATTTCTTTCTTTTGTGAAAGATGAAGTATTAATGAACCAGCCGAGATTGGACGTGCCAAGATTTCAGTGTGGTTCATGTTAAAAGATTAATAGTGAAGCTTTTATGTATTTCGGGGATTGGAAATTTATATACTTTCAAAACATAGAGAATTTGCTCTAATAAAGATCGGCTTTGTTCTAATGTTAGGTGACCGAGTTGAGTGTCTCGTAGCGGAGCAACTGAAAAATACAAATGTGATGTCAAGGAACTGTTGATTGAAATGGAGTAGGGTTCACGGTTGTTATTTGGATAGTGTCTTTGGAATTTTTTTCTGGTATCTATACGTACAAATTTTATTACATATTATTGAAAAAATATATTTCTTAATGCAAAGTCGAAAAATAAAATCATGTATTATATGATTTGTCATACACGTGCGTTACCGAAAAACTAGTATATATATATATATATATATATATATATATATATATTACATGTGCGTGACACGCTTATCCACTAAATTCACTACAAGAGTTTCCTTCGCACTTAAGATTTGTTGCTTATGCACTAAGAAAATCGACTCAACTGCTTACGTGCATACAAACAAGCCACATTAATGTAAGCCGTGTTCTTCATGAGTTCGAAGCTTCATCTTTCACACGGTAATCATTCGGTGGACAAGTTTTAATTTTGCCATAAGACATATAAAGTTATATGTATAAATATCGGGGTAATTTCACCGATATTTATCCAACTTATTATTTATTTCACAAAAAATACTTATCTATTTTGTATCACTTAAAAGTCACTAAACTTTACCTTTGTAACTTAAAAGTCATTCTAGTTCAAAACCTATAAAATATTCTATAAAAATATGACATGACATTAAATTTAATTAAAAAATTTAATTATAGTGCCACATAAGCTTAGATGGACCATATTCCCAATTTAGATCCATTTCATCCACAATTTGATTTGACTCATAACCCAAATGAGTTTTAATATTTTGAACATTAGAAGGAAAAGAAGAGAACAATTATTTTGGCTAAAAATATCGTACTTTATTTGTTACGTAATAACCTTAATGTTACCACCTATAATTTCATTAAAAATATGAACAAAATTAGCACAGAACCAGTTTTTGCATTCTTCATATCATTTTATAATTTTTCATGAAGTTAAAATACTACCATATCAATCTCACATAACATACAAATGTACCACAAACAGACAAGAACAACAAGCTACTAAGAACCTATTTTCATAAATTACTATTCCATTAAAGTTGTTTACCCGAAAAATAGATAGAGTTGAATTTGTACGTAGTTCTAAGGGTATGTGGTATAGCTTGACACAAATCGTAAGAGTAAATAGAAATATCGAATATTGACTGTAAAAGATGAAAAATAAGCAAAGTTGAAAAGAGGATGATTTATGGATTAAGCAAGATGAATCAATCTATGAAACTAAAAAAGGATACTTCTTCAATATGGGAGTGTATGATATCTGAGTTACAATGTATGCAAAACTTGATCCTTTACAGAAATATAGTCATCCCTTTTATAGTGAGGGATCCTACTTTAGATATAATTAAAAATACATAGTGGAGAACCCATGATAAATCAGCTTTTTCATAATTCCCGTCGAGATTCTCTCCCTTAGTGCGGCTGTAGCGACTCTTGTCTATGAGCTCGATCTTGATCGGACTCGGTATTGGTCGGTATTGGTCGGTTTCCAATTTTAGAGCTCGATGCCGACTCGGGGTCCGGTATTGACTTGGACTCGGTATTGATTGACCTCTGGTTCTTAAGCTCGATTCCGTCGCTTCTCAGTATAGTTCGATTTGGACTTGAGCTCGATAATGGCGTTGAACTCGGTATTTAATCTGACTCCGAAACTCGAAGCTTGTTCGTGCCTTCTTCAAATCTCACCTCGATATTATGAAGATGCTCTTCGGTCCACCTTCACCAATCGCACGAAGGTTGAAAACGATTTTAACCGTATACAAAAGTCAAAATATTGCTTATTAAGCAATACTAACAAACAAAAATACTGCTTAGTAAGAAACACCCACAATGAAATTGCATAGTAGAACTTCTCTACTAGAAATTCGGCCAAAATCGACCGCAACCAACCGACCGAAATCGGTCGGTTTTTCATATAAAATAAATTAAAACTTATATTCAAAAAATCGATCGAAATTGGGCTGAGGAAGAAATGAGTCTAACTTAAATATGGTCTATTTAAGCTTATGTGGCATTTTTGTTAGATTTTTTAATTAAATGTAATGCCATGTCATATTTTTTATTGGATATTTTATAGGTTTTGATTTAAAATGACTTTTAAGTAACAAAGGTAAAGTTGAGTGACTTTTGAGTTACAAAGATAAAATTGAGTGACTTTTAAATGATGAAAAATAGATAAGTGACTTTTGTGAAATAAATGATAAGTTGGAATCATGAATTACTACAAGAAATTATCTTAAGCTATATTACATAGAATTGACGATCATCTAATAATTTTTTTTGTTATCGTATCATTATACAATTAGTTGAGATTATGAAAATCAAAGGACATTCAATTGGACTACAATTAGTTAGTGTTTGAACCTGAATTCTTTCTTTCATTCGCTTAACAGACTTATGAGTCCATGTTATTGACCCGAGATGCTTTAACTAATTTGCACAACCACAACCTGCTGCTGTGGAGGGAACTAAGGGAAACAACAAAATCCAGTAACTAGTTTATATGATGAACAAAATTTCTGTAGGTTTTTCTATACACAGACTAGCCACAAATCAATCGAAATCATAGAAGTTAGCTACTCTGAAGAAAAAATTCAGAAAACTACTATAGTATCTAATACGTCTGTAACCGAAACAATTCAAAATGGTTACAACCAAGAATGTTGAACTACTCTAAGCGGGATAATCCCCAACATCAACTCATTCTCATATGGTGTCATATTCAAATCCAAGAACAAAGCCTTTTCAGTACCCGAAATCTTTTTCTCTGTCGTCTCTACAACTTCACCGGCAGAATTATCATCACTATCCTGCTGTTTCTGTTTCTGCAATTCACCCAATTTATAGCGGTGCTTTCTCATGTGGCCACCTAAAGCTTGTCCAAGAGAAAATTCCTCTCCACAAAAGGAGCATTCATGTTTCTTCTTGTTAGGTTTAATTGGATCTGCCGTTGAGTGGAGTTTTGGTTTCTTGTGACTTGCTCTATGGCCGCCCAAAGCTTGGAAAGATTCAAATTGCTTCTTACAAGTCCTGCACTCGAAAAGTCTACGTGCTAATGAACTATTCTTCTCTAAGATATTGACGCAATTAGCCATGGCTAATGTCTCCACTGTCAATTGATCTTCTTCTCTGCTTCTCTTTATTGTCATGGCAATAGTATTAGGGCGGTGTGTGGGAATTAGTGTGGAGAGTTATATATAGTTTCTAAAGTTTCTTGAGCCCGAAGAAAAGAGAGAAAAGGATTGTGCTATTGCTAAGACTATTTTCCGCTTTAAACTCAGTTTGGGATTCGCTAAGTTACAACACGCTAGTACACACGGAATTACCATTTTTTTATACCAACACTAAAGTTTAATTTAGTAGTGTAAATTACACTAAAGGCCCCTATAATTGCAGATGCACCCTTTTTATCTTGAGATCATATATTCAATCCCTTATACAATTATGAAAATCCTACAGTTTGACTAATGTTTTCATTTTATAGCAGTTAAGTGCTTAGATTTGGAAAACATGAGATATATTTATAACTTAAATGTATTAATATAAAACAAGTTAAATTATAAAATATAAAGTTTCATGTATCTTCCAAAATTCTTAATTAATTAGAAAATGACCACATATTAATGCATGTAGTCATTTATATGATCAGTTACTTGTAATAATTTTCTTGCATTTTCAACATGTAAGCTATTGATCCTTTAAAAAAAAAAAGAATTATAGTACTATTTAATATACAGAAATTTCACGTGTTTTCTTTTACTTAGGTCGCTTTTCTATAATACCACTTCAAAATTTTTAAATTAAACTTAATTAGACAGATGTTCTTTTTGTATAATTTTCATTATATAAATAGTATAAAGTACTTTGATTTGCAAAATATTGCTAACGCCTTTATATTTGTGTATGGTTTGTATTATATATGAAGTGTAAGTGCTTGGTTTTAAAACACAGAAAATATATCTACAACTAAGTTATATTACAAGGAGGTTTAGTGTAAACTCTTGTTAAATTTACCTAAAACTTAAACTCTTCAAATTTTCTTGTGACTGAAGCAAAGAGAGAGAAGGATTGTGTCACTGCAAGACTGATTTCAAAGTTAAACTCAGTTTTGGTTAGGTTAAGTGTGTACAGCACTACAGCTTAATCCGAGTAAATTGCTTTCTGTAAAAGACCTGGTTTCTCAGGCAATTCTCTAATTCAGTAAGCTAGAGAGTTTTCTTTTACTTTATTTTATTTTATTTTATTTCTTTCTTGCTTTTTGGGTCAACTCCAAACTTGTACCGATCTGACTTGTGTATATATAGTACCCTAGTAATTTCCTTAACATACTCATTTTCTAAAATATTGAATATTTTGAAAAGTGATCGGAGTACATCTTTTAGGATTTTTCAAACAACACTATAAAATACCCTTATTAAACGTACTATTTCAATAAGAAAAAGTTGACTACATATCACCAAACTTGCAAAGAAATTTCCCTCACACGCTTTAACTTTGCAGTGGCTCATTATACGTTCCAACTTGTAAGAAATTGAGTCGACCCCTATGACACATAGGCGGATTTAGGGGCAGAAAGAGGTTAACTCGTCCCCTTTATCGATAAGTTATACTGTATATATAAGACAAAATTTATTTTATATCTCTATATAGTATATTTTGAGTCTCATTGTAACAACTCAAAATCATAACTTAGTAGTCAAGGGAGTTCAAAATCTTTACGAGTTTACTGATTCAATTCTCACTAGCTGCAGTCTCTTTTAATTTTTTAACTTTTTTTTTTGAACCCTTAGCGTTAATCGTGCCTCCACCATTGCTCTGACACCGCCACTAAGTTTATTTGACATTTCGCTCATTTGCAGTTTCTGAGTAATTAAATTCAATTATTTTAATGTAATGGAGAATAATCTTACAGTATTATTTTCTATTATAGTGGCTACAAACTTCACCTATTGATGCTCGTCGAGGTCTGCGGCTTGTGACAAGGGGTAGTGAGTGTTGCGGAAGCCGAATATATAAAGAGTGGTTAAATCACAACTACTATATCTAAATGCAGCTAATAAGTAGTAAATGAGATAATAATAAAAAGAACACCAGAAATTAACGAGGTTCGGCAAAATTTAATTTTTGCCTAGTCCTCGGTTACAATCAACTCAAACTTTATTTCACTCCAAAAATTACAAGGAAAATACTACAAGAGAGAAAGAAGATTCAAATGCCTTAGGAGATAAGAAGGCACGTGAGAGATGTTTACAAATGAACAAAACCCTTACTATTTATAGAAGAGAAATGGCCTTAATAATGTCATGCATGACATCATATTAAGTGTGATCATGCAATATAAATGCATGAAAAATGCATCTATCAAATCTTCCAAAAAAGATGTTTCAAATGTTCACACTAGTTCACATTAATCTTGTCAAATTCAACAAATCTCCACCTTGGCAAGATTCCACTTTTTCAATTTTCTCTCACTGATAAATTTTGATTGTGTCTTCAACTTCAATCTTCAAAGTTCAACAATGTTGATCAAGTTCAAACAATATTGAAACTTGATCGCAGTCACTACTTTTGTTAGCATATCGGCAGGGTTGTCTGTAGTCCTAATTTTCTGCACCATGACTCCACATTCTTCTATAATATCTCTTAAAAAGTGATATCGAACATCAACGTGCTTCGTCCTTGCATGATAAACTTGGTTCTTGGCTAATTGGATAGCACTCTGACTATCACAAAATAGTGTGATGCTTTCTTGACCAATACCAAGCTCTCTAAGCAAACCTTGAAGCCAAATTGCCTCCTTTACAGCCTCCGTAATTGCCATGTACTCTGCCTCAGTAGTAGACAAAGTAACCGTTGACAGCAAAGTCGATTTCCAACTAACTGGTGCATTTGCAAAAGTGAAAACATAACCAGTAGTTGATCTACGCTTGTCTAAATCACCCGCATAATCCGAGTCACAATATCCAACCAAATACTGACTATCTTCCTGCTAAAAAATCAATCCAACATCTACAATATTACAAATATAACGTAGAATCTATTTCACAGCTTACCAATGCTCCTTTCCTGGATCATGCATATACCTGTTTACAACTCCGATAGCATGTGAAATATCAGGTCTTGTGCAAACCATTGCATACATCAAGCTACCAACGGCATTCGCATATGGCACTCTTAACATATACTCTCGTTTAGCTTCATTCTTCGACGACATAGCAGCACTAAGTTTAAAGTGAGGAGCAAGAGGAGTGCTAACTGACTTTGTGTTCTCTTTCATGCCAAATCGATCTATTACTCTCTTCAAGTATTCTTTCTGAGATAGACAGAGTTTCTTTGAATGTCTGTCTCTTTTTATCTCCATACCAAGAATTTTCTTCGCCTCACCCAAATCCTTCATCTCAAACTCCTTTCTTAGTTGAATCTTCAACTTCTCAATTTTCTCTTGACTTTTGGAAGCTATCAACATATCATCAACGTATAGGAGAAGATATATGAAGGATCTGTCTTCAAGCTTGCGCAAATACACACAATGATCATATTTGCTTCTTCTGTACTTTTGCCGCAACATAAACTTGTCAAATCATTTGTACCATTGTCTAGAATATTGTTTCAATCCATACAACAATATTTCAAGTTTGTACACCATAGTTTCCTTTTCAGCAACTTTGAATCCTTCTGGCTGAGTCATATAGATTTCCTCTTCGAAGTCTCCATGTAAAAATGCAGTTTTTACATCTAACTGAACTAGTTCCAAATTTAACTGTGCTAGCAAAGCCAACAAAACTCTAATGGATGAGTGTTTCACGACTGGAAAAAACATCTCATTGTAATAAATTCCCTCCTTTTGAGCGTATCCTTTGGCCACCAATCTTGCTTTGTAGTGAACATCTTCTTGGTTAGGAAATCCTTCTATCTTTGCAAATACCCATTTGCACCCAATTGCTTTCTTGCCCTTCGGGAGATTGGCCAATTTCCACGTGCAATTCTGATGAAGGGACTGCATTTCTTCATTCATGGCAATCTCCACTTATCTTCTTCTTAACTTTGGATTGCATCTTTATAAATGGTAGGAACACCATCAGCTACAATTGAGGCTGCACAAGCCACCGTCTCTATGAGATGAACATGTTTCCTTATTGTTCTTTTTGGCTTGCTGGTTGCTATTGATTCAAGTTGTTGTTGGGGTTCCTGAGTTGGAATCTCCCCTTCCAGTGACTCTTCTTCCAAGGGAAAATCTTCTATTGTTTCCTCGTTTTCTCCCTGTGTTGGGAAAATTAATTTTCCCTCAAACTTCACCTGCTTTGAAGCACTATCAGTTTGTTTGACATCTTCATCTGTCATATTATTTGTTATGGCAGATTCATCAAAGGTAACATCTTCTGATGAATATAATTTTTCTTGTCTCTGGACACCATAATCAGTATCCTTTGACTCCAGAAGTAATCCTCATAAATATAGCTTTCTTTGCCCTCGGATCCAATTTTGTCTCTTTCACATGATAGTATGCAATTGAGCCAAACACATGCAAAAAATTGTAATCTTCAGCAGGTTTTCCATATCATTTTTCAAATGGTGTCTTGCCTCTAATAGAGGCAGATGGTAGATGATTAATGAGGTGACATGCATATGTTATTGCCTCAGCCCAAAATTCTTTGCCCAAGCCAGCATTGAACAACATACACCGAACCTTCTCCAGCAAAGTTCGGTTCATGCGTTCTGCCACTCCATTCTGTTGTGGTGTATTTCTGACGGTGAAATTTCTCAAAATGCCATCATCTTCACAAATCTTATTGTAAAGATCATTTTTGTATTCTCCACCATTATCTGTGTGAAGACACTTTATCTTTATGCCTGTTTGAGTCTCTATCATCGCCTTCCATTTGAGAAAAATTCCCAGTACCTCATCTTTGGTTTTCATAGTATACACCCACACTCTTCGGGAAAAGTCATCAATAAAGGTTACAAAATAGTGTTTCCCACCTATTGAAGAAGTTTTGGAAGCACCCCAAATATCATAGTGAACATAATCCAAAATACCTTTAGTATTATGGATTGTTGTTCCAAATTTAACCCTTGTCTGTTTCCCCTTGACACAATGCTCACAAAACTCCAAATTACAAGTCTTTACTCCTTTTAACAATCCTTGATCTGATAAAATGTTCAAGGATTTTCCTCCAGCATGTCCCAAGCGCATGTGCCATAGCTTGGTTGCTTCTGCCTCCTTGTCATCACTGAATGTCACTGTTGCTATCCCAATAACTATACTACCGT